TTTTTTTAAATTCCTTCCTCAAGGATAACCACTTTTGACTTAGTGGATTCTTTTGTTCTTTATCTCATTATCTCTAAATGACATGTTTGTGATATACTTCTAAACATGGATAAATATTGAGTTCTCTTCTCACCCATTCCTCACTCCCTGCTACACACTGAACTTCCCTCCATTCTCCCAGGACATATGTGGTTTGGTTAGATTAGTATTCATCATTGCTTAATTGTGAATAAATAATATTCATATCCAAGGCAAATATTAATTATGATTACTTTTCCATCACAACTTCATTTTCCTTGGATTTAATTTTTTTTTTTTTTTTTTTGCCTAGTTTTACTTATCTTAATAAAACTTTTTTTTTTCAACATTCTTTAGCTCTCCTGTTAAGATTTTGAACTCAGCATCCTCTCTGCTCTGTGGACATTACCATCCTTACATGTCTCCCTTCACTTTCTTTCTGGATATTTCTTTTACCTCTCCCCTATGTGGAGCAACTTTATCCTGGATGCCATGTCTTTCTCTTTATTGATTTTCTCTCTCATTTTGATTGAGCACATCTTCTAGGAGCTTCCAAGAAAGAATTTGTGAAATATAATTTTTTTGAGACTTGGCATGTTAGAAGATGCAGTTATCACATTTGATATGTGATTGAAAATTTGTATTGAATTTTAAGTCGGAAATATTTTTCTTCTGAATTTTGAAGTCTTCATTGTTTTCTGGTTCTAGAGTTGCTGTCAAGAGAGCTGAAGATACTCTCCCACCTAATCGTTTAAGATTTTATCTTTATTGTTTGTTTTAAGCAGTTTGATTGTGGTATGCCTAAGTGTGGTTTTCTGCTTGGAGATTGTCAAGCTTCTTGGATCTGTATTATGTCAGGGACTCCAAGCCCACCCCTAGGTTCAACAATTCTCTAGGAAGACGCTCAGAACTTAGCATACAGTCATATTTGTGGCTATGATTTATTACAGTGAAAAGGTACAAAGGAAAATGAGCAATCTTCCAAGAGTTCTTTTCTAGTGAATTCACACATGATATACTTTGTTGCTCCAGCAATGAGTTTTGACAACAGGTATAAAGTGTTGTCTGCCAGGAGAGCTTATGAGTGACTTAGTGTCCAGGGTTTTTATTGGGGGCTGGTAATATAAGTACTCTCTGCCTAGCATGTACCAACACTTCACATTTCAAGAAGGAAAACAGGTATTTAGAATAAGCCATATTGTTTGCACAGTTTTGGCAGAGCAAGCCACTCATCATTTAGGGAATGGTGGTAACCTTTCTGAAATCTAGGTTCCCAGAGGTAGGCAGGTACCAACATTGCAAGTAGGGCTTTCTAAGGATACCTGTCTCAGGTCTGCTATGTTAACTCTGTTCTTCACATATAGGTTTAAAGTTCTCATCACATTGGGAAAGTTTTTTTGCCTTTATTCAACACTTTTTTTTTTTCCTGACTCCCCTTTTCTTTTCTTTTGGGGACTTCAGTTATACGTATGTTAATTAGGCTGCTTGGTGTTATGTTATGGATCATTTGAATGACTTCTGTTGCTGTATCTTCAAGTTCAATAATCTTTTTATCCTGTAGTACCTAATCTGCTAGTAATACTATGCAATATATTTGTTATCTCTAAAAGTTTGATAGGAAATTTTTTATATCATCTATGTCTCTCCTTAACACGATCATACTTTCTTTTATGTTTTGAACGTATAGAGTCTATAATAGTTGTTTTAATGGCTTTTTCTGTAAACCTATCATGTGTGTCATTTCTGTGCGTATTACTATTAATCAGTATTTCTCTTCATTATAGGTTGTGTTTTTCTGCTTATTTGCATCCTGGAAATTTTTGAGTGGATACAGACATTGTGAATTTCATGTTGTTGGGTCCTGGATTAAAAAAAATCCTTTAACTATTCTGAGGCTTTGTTTTGAGGTGGAGTTACTTGGAAACAGCTCTATCCTTCTGGATATTGCTTTATGCTTTATTAGGTAGGCCTAGGAAAGTGCTCACAGCTACTGTTTCCTGACCCTGTCTGAATGCTTCCAGATGATTACCTAGTATAAGATAGTTTTTTTATATGTACCTGCTGATCAATACTCTGTTGAATACTTGTGGGGAATTGCTGCTTTTCCCTGTGCAGCTCTGGCTTTTCTGGTATTCGGTCCTGTGAACTCTAGCAGCTTTGGTCTCCCTGGACTCTCAGCTGTGTCTCTTCAACTCAGGGAGTCTACTGGACTTCACCTTGGTTCTCCTTGTCTACCACGTGGTGTGGAAATTCTGTCAAGAAAATAAGCTAGGGCAGTTATAGGGCTCAATTCTTTGTTTCCTGACTTTCAGGGATTAGTGTTCTTCTTGCCTGATATCCAGTATCTTGAAAATCATTGTTTCATGTATTTCATCTGTTGTTTTTTTTTTCTTCTTTTCTCTTTTCTGTTCTGTTCTTTCTTTTCTTCTTTTTGGTTGTTTCAGACAGGAGTATAAATCCACTCTGTATCATTCCATCTTGGCCACCTTCCTGACCTTTTCATACAATCTAGCACATGAAAAGATGCTCGTCATCATTAGTCATTAGGGAAATACATATCAAAACAATAATGAGAGAGCAGGGGAGAGGGGAGGTAGATGGGGTAAAGGGAAGTCAAATATGTGGTGACAGAAAGAAATCTAACATGGGAGGTGAACACACAGCGTAAATATATATATGCCTTACTGTTAAAGTGTACAGCTGAAACTTATTGGATTTTGTTAACCAATGTCACTATAAAAAAAGTAAATAAATTAAAATACATTAAAAAAAAAACCATAATGAAATACTGCCTGATACCCATTAGGATGGCTGTGATAAATAAATGGATAAAAAAATTTTTGAGAATGTGGGGAAATTGGCACCCTTTTACATTGCTGGTGGGAATGTAAAATGGAACAGCCACCATGGAAAACAGTTTGGCAGTTTTTCAAAAAACTAAGCATAGAATTACCATATAAATCAGCAATTGATATACTCAAAAGAATTGAAAGCAGGGACTCAAGCAGATACTTGTTCATTGATGTTCATAGTGGCATTATTCACAATGGCCAGATGGTGGAAGCAACCCAAATGTCCATCAGCAGATGGATGGGTAAACAGAATGTTGTGTATGAGCGTTTGTATACACACACGTGTGTATTATATATATGTATATATATACACAGTGGATAATTATTCAGCCTTAAAAAGGAATGAAAATTCTGATACATGGTATAATGTGGATGAACCTTAAAAACAAATGAGCCAGACACAAAAGGAAAAATACTGTATGATTCCACTTATGTGCAGTACTTAGGACAGGTAAATTCAGAGAGCCAGCAAGTAAAAAGAGGTTATCAGTGGCTGAAGAGTAAGGGGAGTGTACAGAGTTTCTGTTTGGGATGATACAAAACTTATAGAAATGGATAGTGGTGGTGGTTTTACAACATTATGAATGTACTTAATGTCACTGAGGTTGTACACCTAAAAATAGTTAATATGGTAAAATTTTTGTTATGTATATTTCAACCCTAATAGAAAAATGAACAAAATTAACTCAATATTTTAGAATATTTTTCTATTATTAAAATTTATGTTTTTGAAGACTTCTTATTGTTATGGTAAAATGTTTATGAGAAGATGCTAAATGAATAAGGCAAAATACCAACCTGTGCAAGCAGTAAAATCTCAACTCAGGGGTCCCAAAGGACCATTCCGAGTCCTGAGACTGTTGCCAAAACCCCCATGGAGTAGATCACCTCTAAACAGACCAGAAAGTGTTGTGTCATGACCTAAAAGTTTCTGTTGACCTTTTATTATATGAAATGGACTAGCAAACCTTTACCTCTGTAAACTTTTCAGTGTGGAAGAAAAGGCTTCTAAGATAGCATAGTCTTACTTTCTTATTGTTACATTGTACTAAACACATGTTTCTTAAAATTTTTTCTCAATATTTACTTATTGTGGTGATTGTTTCAGTGGTTGAACTGTTACTTTATGTTCCTGGCTTTTTAAAAGCATTTTATTTTTATTGAGAAAGATGAGATTCTTGTGCATAGCTTCATATCACAGGTTACCTGTCTTAATAGTTTTCAAGTTTTATCTGGTATTTCATGAACAGGATCTATACCGATGAGATAAGAAAGCATTCAATAAAGTTAGCTTCAGGAATTCCTTTTTCTTGTTTTGAATTGAAAGAATAATGGATTTGTCTTCATCATAGATTATTGCCATCACTGAATTGCAAATTTAGTATTTTACTCTTGATTATCAGAAACTTTAATTTTCTCATTAGGAAATATCTGTTTTTGAGGACTTCTGTTTCTTTGTTTGATTTTTGGAGAAATAGTCTGTGAAACAAGGATATAGTTACCCTTTGAAAGCTGATGTAAATAATTACAATCCTAAGTAATGCTGCATGGGTAGAAATGCTGAGTAGTTGAGTGGGTTTACTAGTTAACTGAGAAGCTCTTGCACACAGTTGTGTAATGCTTGCAATTCAAATTCATACCTTATTAAAATTACAAATTACAATATGACAGACTTTAGGGTAGCTCTTAAATAATACAATATATAGTTGTAAGAAGTGAATGGCAAGCATTCATAGTTCTTCACAATGCAAATAATATATTGCTGGGAGGCAGGATTATTGGCGAAGCTTGTTTTCTTCTTATATTTCATTTTAAAATGAAATGAGAAACATAGCCAATAGCTTTTCCCTTGAAGGAGAAAAAGAAATAAATTGTATTGAACATATAAACTAGGCTTTATGTTGTACTAATTGCTTTATGTACATGTATTAGTCCATTCAAGCTGCTGTAACAAAATACCATAGACTGGGTGACTTAAACAATATATGTTTATTTCTCATAGTTCTGGAGGCTGAGAATCCCATGATCTAGGTGCCAGCAGATATGGTATCTGGTGAG